CGCCCCCTGGTGGACACTAGAGAGAATGCAGCTTTAAGACACTTCCGCATTAACTTCACTTTTCCGCTAGGTTAGTACCCTGAACCTGTCGTATATCGTCTAAATTGCAGGTCTCTCGGCGTGGAAACTGCCCTCCTGAGTGACATGGAGGACGAGGACTCTGATGTGGCGGCCAACCTCCCGCTCCATCACCTCCAGAGGAAACAACGAAGGAAAACCAGAAGACAGAGCCAGGGGGACGGGGAGCAACCTCCAATCATCCAGGGTCTGTGGGTGCAGGAGATTGATTGGCTGAAGTCGGCGAGCAAAGAGACGACAACATCCTCGGCCGAGATCATACCGCCTCCTCCTCAGTTTACTGACTGCAGCCATGGAGACTCCTGCGTACACAAAGGCGGTGCAGATGTGTGTGTGAGAGGAGTAGAGGATGTGTCACCATCAGAGGACTGTTACAGATCAGTGGATACAAACGACAAAGGAGGCTCAGACTCCGATTGCAGCCTGGATCGGGACTCTGAGTCTGTTTACACTCACGAAAGCGAGTCAGACTCGTCCTGCGCCGCAGAGGACGGCACACAAGCGCCTGGTAGTTTGGGAGTTGAAGACAGAATGTCAAATTTAGCCTTTGACCTGATGCAGGTGTCTGGTTTTACCTCTTCCTCTCATGCAGAGTGGGATTCAGACTCTACAGGGTGTGTTCGAAGCCTGCTGGGAGTTTCAGAATCCAACTCCACCCCCAGCACTGTGAATGCATCCCAGCGTGCCTTTGGTGTGGATGACATGAGTGATATTGACACGGTTTTGGGCGGCCTGAGAGGCAGAGTGACGCAGCTGCCAAAGCTCTTTGTTTCACCTTTCTTTAGAGATTTGAACAAACAGACTCTGAACGACTGGGAGAGCAGCACACCTGTCAATGAAGGACTCATATTTCATCATGTGAGACCTTTACATCCACTTTATTAGCACTGTCTGATATTACTATGCCTACATATGCCTTAACCCCAATATAATCTACCAACACCCAACACTGTAAAAGTTTCAACCATGCACTTTAACGAGGCCACAATCAGAGACATCACAACAGCGGTGGAAAAAGTTTTATTTTGAAAGGGGTTCAGCAATGACACTTTGATAAATGTCTTTGGTAACTCACAAGAGACACATTAAAGGTTGAAGAAGCAGAGACCGAGATGTGTTCACGAGCTAGTCTCTAACTGAGTCTGTTTGCTGCTGAGCAAGACAATAAAAAGTTAATATTTAGGGCCGTAGAAACCAAAAGAAAGCTCTTAAATATGCTAAAAGGCTTCATAGTTGTGAGTGAAACTGAGTCTATGGATTTGTCTCCATGAACAACCTCTTTCACATTACAAACAGTGATTCGATTCAAATGTTTGTATCCATTTTTGATTAAAGCGGCTTTAAAGTACCTCAACATTGTACTTAAGAACTGCACTGTTTCACTGCTTGTGGGCCAAATGCTTCCTGATTGTGTGTTGTTTTGCCCTTCTGTCATTTACACTTTTCATTGTGTGCTTTTTTTTTTGTATCCTTCAGCAACTTCAGCCCAGCAGCTGTCAGTACAGGGAGGGAGAGGAGTACTGCGTCCTTCATCACATACAGAACGGCTCGTACGGCGACGTCTTCTGTGTCCGGGACAAAAGGACTGGATTCAAATGTGCTGCCAAGAGGGTAAGCCAAGAAACAGTGAGTCATTTTAAACAAAACAAAAAGATCCAGATGTGCACCACCCTAAAGTCTCTTGCTCCTCAACGCCAAAACGGTGATTGAATTAAAAAGTGACCGAAGCACATTGTTGTCCGCTGATCTCAGATACCAGTGAGTCACTTCAGCAGCGAGGAGGTGAGCACGTGGAGCGCTCTCAACTCTCCCCGTGTTGTGGAGCTCTTTGGGGCCGTGAGGGAGGGCCTCAACATTGTGCTCTTCATGAACCTGAAGCCAGGTAAACTTTCTTCAGTCCTGACAATAAATAACACAAATACTATATATGTTATATAATACTATGTTGTGGACAGTATAATCGCCCACAGTGTTAAAATGTAAAGATGTGTCCAACACTTCTTCAGCATGTTTGGCCCAGCTTCTAAAAGAGATGAACTCCCTCCCTGAGGATTTGGCCCTGCACTACCTCCACCAGTCACTGGGGGCACTAGAGCACCTGCACCACAGAAAGGTCCTTCACCTGGACGTCAAAGGTGTGTTCTTGATAGTTTGGCTATACATTTTTACTTGTTTTGAGCAACAGATCCCATTTACACAGGGCATTTTCTGAGGAACTTGTATTTGAGTATTTTTATTTTATGTTACTTAATACTTTAAGTTAATCGAGGGGTCTTTAATCCAGGTTCTCACAAAAGACACTAGTTTAAATGTGTCTAAAGGGGGTCCACACATTCCATTTGATCTGTGAATAGATGTTTTGCAGTTTGAATGATGAAAACTATAAGGCATTAGTAATCTTTCAAAAGACATTTTAGTGACAATTGCAAGTTAAAAATAATTGTCTTTTATTTTTACAGACCCCAAAATGTTGCTATTCCTGGTTTCTGTGTACATGCAGTCTTCTGAAGGAACTTCTTTATTGTTGCTATACGTACGTTTGGATTCAGCTTGCTTAGTGTGTTGTGAGGCCTCACAGTCGTAGATTTGATGTTATCAGCAGTGGTAGAAGGAGAGAGCTCAGTAGAGCTGCTGGTTCTGCTGTCAGATCTCGTCCCCAGTGTCGATACCTAATCCTGAACTGACACCTCACCCCCTAAACCCTCAGTAATCCCCCGCTGAGAGGATTAAAGAGGAAGGGGCTCACTCAGCCAACAAACATCAAATTAACCCATCTCATCAAATCAGATCTCCATGAAGGAAGACGAAGCTCCTTTACCTCCAGACGCTCTGACCCCCCCGTGAACCCGTCGCTCTGACAGCCTCCTGATTTCTCACTCAACTCTTTCATGATGAAAATGAGCTGTCCCACTAAATCCTATGTGTTGATTTCATTCCAGTTGACAACGTGCTGCTGTCTGCAGACTGCAGAGACACGTTCCTCTGTGACTTTGGTCTCTCAGAGACTTTAGATGACAACGGATGGAGCACCAACGCATTCAGGGGTGAGTGAAGTCTGACAAGTCGGCAATACACTGTGGCAAACTTTACATTAGATATTGATATGTTTTGATCACATTGCTAGACTTTAAATGTAGGATTTAGTGGCATCTAGCGAACCCTCTGCTCAGTCCTCCCTCTCTAAGCGTGTTGGAGAACTACGGTGGCCTTCAGCTGACCTAAAAACATGAAAAGTCTCTCTCTAGAGTCAGTGTTTGGTTTGTCCCTTCTGGGCTACTGTAGAAACATGGCGGTGCAACGCTCCTACAGCCTCAGAAATGTGTAAGCCATGTCAACATGTATACAAACAATAGGAGCATTATCACCAAGACAAGGTAATTAAGAGTTAAAAAACCAGAGAGATTAAGATGAATTCCCTGTTTGTCGATGTAGGAGCCGCCTTCCCCGGCACAGAGACCCACATGGCCCCCGAGGTGGCTCGAGGGGATCGACTGTGTGCCAAGGCGGACGTGTGGAGCAGCTGCTGTATGCTCCTGCACACGCTCAACGGATGCCACCCATGGATACGCTACTACTCCCATCCTCTGTGTCTCCAGGTGAGTCTTATTCACTTTTCAGTGGAAAGTGAGGTGTTTCCACCCCTCAAACTGCACTGAGGGTTTCTCACGTTTTTTATGTCCATCTGTGTTTGTCAGATTGTCAACGAGCCTCCTCCTCTGTGGGAGGTGCCGTCCAACTGCAACAACTTCACGGCCAAAGTGTTCAGGGCCGGACTCCAGAAAGACCCTGAGAGACGAGCATCGGCAAAGGAGCTCCGGAGGAAAACCACCAAGGCCCTCAGAGCAGGTCGATGTGTTACATGTTCAAGAATCATCTTATAATGTCATTTATTTATTCCTTTTTTTACCTTTATCCTTGACCAATGAAAATCGTGCTCGTAGTTTTTCCGTAATCCTAATGAAATAAAAACATAAACCTCTTAGTGGAGGAACCAATATCAAGCAATACTGGAACAATATTATAAAATGCTTCACATAGGAAACAAAAAATTGCAAATGACTTAACAACCAGAACAGAAAACCACAGCAGAATAATAACAACAATATTCATGGTTATATGGAATATCAAGGTGTCTGGTCATGCAAACCTGTAAAAGTTAGCAGTACAAATTTTAAATCTATATTCTAAAACAAACCGCAGACATGTAAAGAGGTTAAAATAGATGTAGTGTGATCCCAACTCTTTTCTGATTTGCACTAATTAAGACGCGCCAAAATAAACGCATGAACAGGAGTTTACAGGTAGGTGGAGCCTTTGCAATATTCCTTAATTGATAGAAACAAGACAAGCTGAGTACAGAAATACACTGAGGACCCACAGTTAGAGTGTCTCTCTTATCCGGATTTCATTGAAGAAAATTGTTTGCCATTCAGATTTGACATCAGCCACACATTTAAGTGAAGCATACCAAGGTCTGTGGGTTGGTATGGAAGGTACAGCTGGATGTTCTCAACAGCAAATGGCAGCAAATAACCATGGCAGCAAATAACATGGTATAGGGAAAGTAAAATGGGACCCAGGATTGAGCCCTGAGGCACTCCAAAACCCTTTTTTTGAGACGTGATAATCTCAGAATTATCTGTTTTTTAGGTATGAAAATAGTGCGACAACCAAAACAATTCTCATTCTCAACTACCTTACTGCTGTTGTGACATTATCTAAATCACTGAGGTCTATAAATTTGCTCCACAGTTGGAGGTCTGAGTCCCTGGTCCGTCAAAAGTGCCTGTGAGAAGCTGCAGAGTGACCAGAGCCTGAGTGAGGACACCCCCTGCTCTTTGTCACCTGGGATCAACCCAACTAAACCATCAGCCACGATGTACTGGGTGAGTCCCTGGAGGACTACAGCAGTGGACGAGGACTGGAGAGATGGCGACTCAGACCAAGACTCTGAGGTGGAGACAGACTCCTCAACCAGGGAATGGGAGTCCCGGCCAAAATCGCTGCAGGATGATTACTCTGCCAACGGAAAAGACTGGGACACCGATTCTGATTCAGAGGTGGATATTTACATGGCGGAGGAGGAACAAGTTCAGGAAAAGTGGCTGAAAGGTGACAGGGACTACGAGGGGGATTGGGAGGAGGAAGTAGATGAAGAGGAGGAGGAAGAAGAAGAGTGGGACTCCTCCGTGTCCACAGAGTATCTCCGAGCTCTCCGAGGCATTTTCCCTCTGCTGCAAAAAGGCCAACAGACAAACGACAATTCATGGGGATCAGAGCCGGAGCTGGAATACCTCCGAGACGGTGAGTCAGACAAACTCTTCCAGAATCTCCTCACGTCATCTGATGCAACCACATTTTATTAGGATACTGAGTTTCACAGTGAATACAGAGCTTGTTCCTGTGTTGCATGAGGAACAGAGACTCAGTATTAAAGGGGAAGTTGTTGTTTGTGGCTGAAGACTACAAGTTTTAAAATGAAAAAAAGAAAATCTGGAGTAGAGTGTGGAGTTAGAAACAAGTGGCAGACATCTGTCACCTGTAGCTCATCTCTGCTGCTAGCCGCTGCTAACAAAACCATAAAATTCCTCTCTATGTTCTGAAGGTTAACACAGAGGGGTTTGTTCACTCATAGTCAGATTTATAAAACATTTTAGAGCTTTTTCTGATCTATGGAGTGATACAAAGATATCTAAATTTCCCTCTGTAAAAACCTTTGACTCTAATATGTCAATGAAATAAACAAGCCGATACGTCTATAACACATTCATTGTAGTATGGATTGATTTGAAAGTACACCTGGTTTGTAGTAAATGCACTGAAACCTGTCAAAACACCGGCGTTGTCCTTTAATAGGATGGACAGCATGTTGCTTGGTACTAAACAGCTGATGTGTTGTCTCTCACTAGAGGTAGCTATCGGCACCACAATCCAGACCCCGTCCCCTGAACCCCGAGATGACCCTCCGTCCTGCTTCAGCTGCTCGGACACGTCACAGCTGGATGCCTCAGAGAAGGTGTGTGTGTGTTTATCGATGCCGGTGTGGAAACAACAAAATCCTAAAAAAAAACTAAACGTTCTCTCTGTTTGAAGGAGTCCGATCACTCGTCTGATGATCTGAGCTCTGGAGTCTTCTCCTCCTGCAACAGTCAGGCAGACGGACACTTGGAGTGGTTGGCCTCGGCCAATCAGTCGTCCTCGTACTGCTTCGAGGGTGAGACATCAGGACCGTACCACTCAGTTACACGCCGGTCGACCTCTGGGTTGTTGTCTTTTTATTGTTATTCACTGCTCTGACGTTCCAGGTGTTGACATCTGGATTGAGAACGTCCAGGGAGAGTGCCTGAGGATCCGGGAACGTCGGCAGGTCAAAGTGGGACATGTTGCGATAGGAGTCAGCGATCAGGTAAGAGACATTGATTGTTTGAATGATAGTCTCCAGGTATCCAGCTGGGTTTGTTTCCTTCTAATGGTGCAACCCTCAACTGAACTGGTATTTAGTTCTAGTGTTAAAATGATTTGTTTCCTGCAGAAATCTGATGTGATTTCAGCTGATTGAGCAGCTCCACCCAGACACCTTTTTGCTTTAGCTTCTCCTCGTTTTCCTGGAACGCACCAGACAAACATCCAGCTGCAGCAAACATCCCCGTCCACACATTGAGCATCCAAGTGTGAAATTGAACGTGTGAATCCGTCCCTTGGTGATGACGGTTAGAAACAGCATCAATAATACAAAGTATTTCTACAAAACTAGGAAGAAGCCAAAGTGATCTAAAACTGGCAACGTTTGGATTTAAATCTGCAACCGTCTGATCAAACAATAAATAAACAAAATTATGAATCTGACCCTTTTCAATACTAAGACACACATTTCAGTCAGTGGTGAGAGTTGATTCCCAAAATCTCGTCTGTCATCGGCAGATCCCGGGGAAAGCCTTCACGCTGGAGACGCTGGACAGGAAGACAGTGTCCTTTGAGCAAGAGATCAGAGAGCCGTGTCTGTGGCTGCGCTGCGTTCCCGCTCCGGACAGATGTCAGCGCTGGAGGTGGAGAGTCACCGACGGAAAGCTGGAACTTCGAGAATGAGACGGACAATTTTTTTAAATGATTTTTGCACTAATTTTGTCATTAATTGATCTGAAGACACATGGACTTAAAAATGTGTAGATGTGCTGCTGATATGACTGGTAGTATAAATATATTAAATAATATAAATAGCAGCAACAAAACCGTTCTCTGAGCAGATAATATGGCCGACATCTTCACACTAAAAACTCAACATTGTCCGTCAACTGTGACTGTTTGAGCACCAAGCGTCATGATGTGAACACAGAGTCCAGCTCCTCTGGTCCACCAGAGTCCTGCAGCTTCATCCTGGACCTCGATGGATCCAGGTCTCTGTGAAGATGTGGGCTCAACAGACACCGACCTCCCGCTGCTTTCAGACAGCCAGATGCATGCTGGGTAGTGGAGTAGCCTCAGGTCCTAGCTGTGTTAGCTTAGCTTCCATCTCGACTCTCCTCCCTCTCCTCCCTGGGACAGTTTGTGTGTATGTATGTATGTATGTATATATATGTATGTATATATATATAAATATATATATATATTATTATTATTATTTATATAAATCATTTTGAGATGTGGTTTTAAAGCTGATTTTCTATTTGTAAACGTGATTTTCTTTCTATATTTGTATCTTATCCTGTCTGTTACTTCTTTGTTTCCTCTGTAATCTGGAGAAGTGTGTCATGTTTCTTGGTGCCCTTTTTAAATGCCGTTTAGAACAATGAATAATAAAAAAATGAATAACTGTAATGATACACGAGACTTTAATACATGAACGTTACTGACATTTTATATCTTAATAAAACAAATGAGCTCTGAGGCTTGTTTTTCAGTCGCTGACCTCCTTCATTCCTTCATCGTGTCCTGAAACATTCAGACCTACAGAAACGTTTACAACGCTAATAAAGAAACCAGCACAAAGAAAGTTCATGTGACTGCATCACATGACTCAGACTCCTGCTTTTAAGATATTTCATCTGAAGTCACAATATGGAGGCACAACTGGTGGTTTTTGGGGCATTTTGCATGAATTATTAGTGTCTCAGCCACCAGAGAGGACTGAGGTCATGTCTGGAATATGTTTTTTCTATTTTAGGACACTGAAGGGTGTTTATATTCAACTTTGTTATACTCAATATATTTAAATTCTACTACCTTTGGCCTGAATATGTAAATAAATCTGTATTTACCCGCCAGGGTTTTAGTCCTAGCTGTGTGGGGAAAGCTTTGCAACAACATTTACACCAATATGGGAAATAATATTTGCAGAAAATACTCTTAATAAAATGCTTAAAATATGAAAAATGTCGTTTTTAAATTAAGACTTGATTTTTGGTGTCTGGTCAAAATGTTTTTTGCTGGATTTGGACACATACACGTAGTATTTCTAAAGATCTGTTTTGTTTTTCTCACTTTTAAATGCTGTCTGAGGAATGTGGAGGTCAAGCAGCTCCTACAGTTAATATTTAAACAGGGCCCACCTTCTTTCACCAAGCCTGGCTGCACAGTTTTACTCTTACTTCTCTTTATGGCCTCAACGTCACCATTTCTCCAACTCTCAATCGTGATTATTTATGTGAGGGTTAGAATCCTTCTGACCTGAAACTAAAAAACACAAAGAATCCCGATCTCATGGTCCACAGCGACTCGAGGCCACCTTAGTCTAAAGGCGTCTTTGTTAACTTTCAGCAGGTGTCCTGTAGCTCAGCTATTGCAGTATGTCAACACAGAGCATAATGGATGACTGAACAAGAAGAAAGGACTTATTTTAGTTGTGCATTAAAAGTTTGAAGTCAAGTTAATTTTTACTATACAGCCCAATATCACAAGGTTTTACCTGAACAGGAAAGAGATTAAAAACTGTCATCTAGAAGAAACTAAAGCTCTCAGACAAATGTAGTAAAAAGTACAATATTTCCCTCTGAGAGGTAAGTATACTTGGTTACCTCCCACCACTGATGGGGTTGAGATCAGGCCGGTCAAGTTCTTCCACATCAAACTGGGAAAAATAAACTGGGCAGACCATTTTCTTAACAGAGCTGTATGTCAGTGTGCATGAACACATGTTAAAACAGGATAAGAGATGAGCTGTTGCCACACAGTTGGAGGCACATATAGTCTATTGTGTTATTAATCTATGGGGCCCAGCCTCACCCGTCCACATACCTTTGACCTGGATTGTTTCTAACCTAAATACAATACACCAATACACCACAGGGCCCTATGGTGTATTTGGTGATGTAACATGTTCTCAAGTTGCAGTTATGATCACATACAAGAAAACGGACTCAAAGTATCATTGACAGCTCTTAAATCGTGGATGTTGTGTCTGAAACTTGAGTATATTCGAGTGTCGGTTCACTTCCTCGACATTTTGTGCAATGAGCACGCCATTGATCACCCGACGCTGTGATTGGACAGCGGGACAACAGAGGGCGGGTTTTAAGATACACCACCTGCACTGTGATTGGAGCAGGTTTGATAGTGGGAAACTGTGATTGGAGCAGGTTTGATAGTGGGAAGCGGCACCCGTACGCCGGTGTCTCCCTGGGTTGCGCAAGACGCCATTTTGGAGTGACAGTGAAAAGATAACGGAAAGATCGAGAAGCTGTCTTTCTAAAAGGTAATAACCCGCACAAACGCGCTGTTTTTTGGTCTAAAAAATGTCATATCGCACGGAGTGACTTGCTTGTGTGCCAACGGCTCGCTCGCGGTGGCGTTCAAACCTGACGTCACGGTGGTTTATCGTTACTGTGACGCGGCATTTAGCTAACGAGACAAGCTAACGTTAGCACAGCTCTCTAAAAGCAGTTCCTGTTACATTAAACCAACGGAATCAAAAGAGGTGTCAACTGTCTGTTTCAATTTTATTTTTCGAAACATGTCGACGTTAAATGTGTCACCATGTGTTTTGAAACGACGGTGCTCTTTCGACCATTTTAACGTCCGCTAAAATTGTGTCGCTGCCGCTAGCTTGCAAGCTATCCGTAAGCTAACAAGCTATCCGTAAGCTAACAAGCTATCCGTAAGCTAACAAGCCGAAAGCATCCGCCCTTAGTGAAGCTTTGCGGTAATCTGCTTCGAGTTTTTAGTAGTAACGCACTTTACGCTACCTGTCGTCGGCTATTTAACACGTGTAATATAATCAACAATTCCCCAACACGTACACCCGCGAGGTCTAAAATGAACGTAGCTGCATTGTCGGCCTTTTTTTGCTAAGGTCGAGATGTTTTTAGCTAGCTAGCGCCCCTAACGTTACTGTATGTGTGAGCCGTTACTAGACGAGCTAGCTAGCGCCCCTAACGTTACTGTATGTGTGAGCCGTTACTAGACGAGCTAGCTAGCGCCCCTAACTTTACTGGAAACCGGCCTTTTCTTATCTGGTGATCAGCTAGCCGTCCAGTTTATCCGGGTTAACAATGCAGCAGCTCCAGGACACGTGATTTATTGTTAAATAGTCAAGAGTCTCGTGTGAATTTTTGCGACGTTATTATAAGTGACGCTGTGAATTTAATATAGGGAACGGCTAGTTACCCCGGGAATCGTTATCTAACGGTTCATGTTGTTGACTGTTTGATCTGACTGGAGCTGTATAAGATAATCCTTTTATTAGTCCATTCATAGCTGTTAGTTTGGTTGAATGAGTTCACTACGGCAGCATTATGATACAGATAAGCCATCAAAGTAACGGAGTGAAACATATTAAATATAAAAATGCTCAATATAGTCAATGAAATAGAATCATATTAAATCAACTATCTAAACAGTAGTGCAAAGATTTAACCAAAATAATAATGGCTGTTACTTTGATTGCTTACCTGTATCATAAATGCTGCTGTAGCGAACAAATTTACCCTTGCGGGATTAATAAAGTATCTCTCTATCAATCCGTCTATCTACCTATCCATCATCCATCTACCTATCTTTCTTAACCGTAAAGGTTTAACCATTATCTTCAGTAAACATCTCACTTGTGTTCCTACTATGTTGTTTTCATTGTTCCACTTTTTTTTGGTTCAATGAAAATAGTCCTTTAATCGACCAAATACACGGCTGTCATCAACCTGCAGTCGTGTAAGAAGTATTCAGATATTTTACTTGCGTAAACAACAATACTACAGTTTAAGGTTAAAAGCCCTGCATTCAATATTGTATGTAAAAGTGTTAAAGTATCAGCGTGGAAATATACCTCAAGTAAGAAAAGTAAAAGTAGTCATTATGTAGAACGGGGTAGTTCATTTTAAAGTACAATGTTTCCCTCCTAAATGTAGTGGAGTAGAAGTATGAAGTTGCACGAAATGGAAATACTCAAGTAAATTACAAATACCTTAAATTACATACAAGTATAGTACTTGAGGAGTGTAGTTAGTTATATTCCACTGCTGTCAACAACTCTACATACACACACACGCACTATACCAGTCTCAATGACTGGTCTTGGTGGTCCAGTTTTGTTTCCTCCTTTCCTCTTGACCTCATCTACCCTGAAACACTACAGACGTTTCTCTCCTAACCTTGTTTCCTTGTCTCCTTTGCTCTAGCTTCGTCACCATGGGGAATATATTTACCAGCTTATTCAAAGGCCTGTTTGGCAAAAAGGAGATGAGGATTCTTATGGTCGGGCTCGATGCTGCTGGAAAAACAACCATCCTATATAAACTGAAGCTCGGAGAGATAGTCACCACCATTCCCACCATTGGTACGCATATCTTTTATTCTTATTAATACAGTTTGCTCTCTTTAGTGTTGTCTTTTTGATGAGTTGTCACCTGGTTGTGTATAGGGCTGGGTACTATAATATTTGTATTACCGTACTATTGGTTCGAACTGATACCAACACTTCCCTATTTGCTAGACCGTACTTTGAAAAAATGTAGAGATTTAGAATATTACATAAATCAGGAACTATGTGATAAAAAGTTACACAAGATTAAGAATCTGACGAGTCATTGGACTTGATAGTTTATATACCCATTGAAACATGATTACTGATACCCAGCCCTGTTGTTTATCTTTACTCTGAACTAGAGGTCTAAATGATCTTTATTTTAATTCATATTAATAAAAGTGGTTACCTGGTGGGTTTGGATATTGAGTGCTTTATTGCCTGGCATGTCGAACACCAGCATTCAATCGTACAAAAGTTATTTACCATTTTACTGACTCATCCATGTTTGTCTTCCCTCTGTCCAGGTTTTAACGTTGAAACTGTAGAATACAAGAACATCAGCTTCACGGTGTGGGACGTGGGCGGTCAGGACAAAATCAGGCCGCTGTGGCGCCACTACTTCCAGAACACTCAAGGTGAGGAGAACCGAGTCAGAACATCATGGCCTACAGGAGGCCTCAGTGGTGCATCAACAATTAGTCAACCAATGATTCAGATGCCATTGTTCAGATTGCAGAGGGCTTATTGTGTGAAATTGAATTCTTCAGATTATGTGAAGACACTGTCGGGTGTTTCCTTCTGATGATGCAACACGCGGGTAGATTCTCCACTGAGCTGGTATTTAGTGCTAGTGTTAAAATGGTTTGTTTCCTGCTGCTCCACCCAGACACCTTTTTATATTTTAGCTTCTCCTCATTCTCCTCGACAAACATCACCGTCCACACATTGAGCATCCAAGTGTGAAATTGAACATGTGAATCCGTCCCTTTGGTGATGACGGTTAGAAACAGCATCATTAATATAAAAACAAGTGTTTCAGAGACTGCATGCCGTACGAGAGAATATATTGGTGCTTCAGGTTTCCCAGCATGGGTTTTGGGACCACTTACAGGGTCCCAAGATTAATCTCAGAGGTCACAAGATGATTTAAAGGATATGAAATTGAGATATATATATGTGTATATATACATATACATATATATATGTGTTAGTAAGTTTTCTGGGGAAATACTCTCACTAGATATTCAAATAAAACAATCTGAAGTGGAAAGAAATCCCTCTTTGTTTGAAGTGCTAAATCATGTCCTTACTAACGCCATAATAATCTGTGATGGCGTTCACAAGTAGACTCACAAGCAACAATAGAAAAGGACTCTACTATTAGAGTTTTGTATGCTTTTATTGACTTTAATGGAGGCATGTAGGCAACATATCTGCCAGCTGACACCAGACTACTTGGTCTCTTTTTGACCTTTAACTGTCTCTGATTGGCCAAAAGAAGCAGCAGGTCTTCTGATTTAAACTTTAAAGACAACACGTGAGATACTTTTTGTGTTTTTTAGCAGTTTAGAGAGTTAAACCTTAAATAATAGTGTGACACCGATGCTTTCACTGAGGATTGATGTATATTTTGATCACAGTAAAGGTCTGTAACTCAACAGTGATGCTGGTGTCACTCCTTCACAGGCTGCTGCTGTTCGTGTGACGACTTCGTCCATAATAATAACGTGTTTGCACTTCTAGTAAGCTACCGGGATGAGGAAACACTTACCAACCGTGCTGGTTCATAAACCAGGAAGCTCACTCTGGATCCTCTCTTGCTTCATGTTTTGTCAAATAGCAACAAAAGAATCTCACGAGAAACTTTACAGGTTTCACTCCGAGAGTTCCTGGGAGAGCATAAAGTGTCTGCTTCCTCAACATGCTGCTTTTACACCATTTATAAGAGTCACGGCTCAAGCTGTCGGATGCAAGAAGTCAAGTGTTTGTCGACTTTAATTTAAACAGACCTGTAGTTACAGAGTGAGCTTATTTTAAATGAGCTGGTTTCTACACTTGATACCGGAGCTGAGTTTTAGCAGTTTAAATATTTGCTTTGTGAGAATAATCCTCTAATGATTTTGGTTTATTATTTATGGTAATTGCCACATAAGAACCAGAGTTTTGTGTTGCACTCTTTCATATTTTTTTGTTTTCCAGTCAAAGAGACTTTTAATCAGCAGGAAGAATTTGTACCAAATAAATTATCAAGAGAACAAAGTCACAGGTTTTGATCTGCGAGAAGAAAAATGATTCAACATGTCTGTCTTTTTAACTACTAATGCGGATATATACTGTTTTTAACTACAAATACGGATATATATACTGTGTTTTTAACTAATACGGATATATACTGTGTTTTTAACTACTGATACGGATATATACTGTGTTTTTAACTACTGATACGGATATATACTGTGTTTTTAACTACAGATGCGGATATATACT